AAAAAGCCATTCATATTGATGTATAACAATGAATAAAATTGCGAAATTGCAAATTGTTTTAAATTTCAACATTTTAACAATTTGCACCTTCTGCAGTTTCTTCTTCTGGAGATTTATCTTCAGGAATCATTTCGGCTACAGTCTTCATTAACACATACTCTTGTCTGTATAATAGTATCAAACGAACAATATCTTGATGAAGATCTGTAAGTTCCCCTTCAGCTATAAAGTCTGAAAAAAAATCAAAATACACACACATGCTAATAGAGAATGATTTGCTGCACCATTTTTATAGATGTATATTATAGTAATGAAGAAACGGTTAACAGCAATTAAAACAAATTAATATATAGATAAAATAAAATACCTTCGTTCCATTGGCACGTTTTTGTCTCCGAGTCAAGTTTCATTCCATGCGGACAGATGCATTTTTTTGACAAAATATCGCAGTCATGACTGCATCCAAATTCGGATATTTCACAATTTCCTTTAAACAAATTTACTATCAGTGATGCTTTCAAATAAAATATTTTATGTACGTAAGTAAACTTACCTTTAAATGTGTTTGCATACATCAAAATCTTCATTTTTATTATCATTCTAAATTCTTGAAGTTTATACCGAAAGATATAAATGAATCGTCGACGTATAACAATTGTCCATGTATACCAAGTTATTTTTGTCCTCAACAATAGAGCTATAATAGATCCATAGTAAATATTCGATTCATAACAAAAATGCCAAATAAATGTTTTATGGAAAAGATCGAAAGGTAGGCAGGTATTTTATGGATGATGTACGAATATATGTATTTTACTTCATGTCAGTATAAGCAGCCATTTCATTCGATATGTAGTCTATACTTTTTTCACTTACCTCTCAATACATCTATATTTGAAGCATCCAAGTGATGGTCAGGTATCTCTTCTAGTATACTAGTTTTTATTTGGTCCATTACATCTGCTAATGAAATACACAGCATATTAAATTGTCGGAAATTAGAGAATGCTATATGTCCAATAACGGAATATTAACAAAACAATAGTAACAATCGCATTGTTATGAATTTATATGACATTACCCCGAGTAATATGCAATCATAAATAATGAAAAATGCTCAAATATTCATAAATCAGTGTTTGACAACCTGAAAAAAAAAACTCAAGAAACAATGAAAAAATACTAAACAGAAAAAATTATTTACCAGAGATAGTTTTGTTTGACCCAAATGCCATTGTCTCAATGTCATCAGCAGCATTGAAAATCTCAGACACTGATTCTAACTTCTTTTTCAAAAGTAACATTTTCTTGAGGTCTAGTATACAGGAAATGTAAATACTTATAATATTTTTTTCTTATATTGTGATATTTGTGAATAAATCTCAAACCTTCTTTCTTGTTATTGCCGAACTCCAATGCTTTATATGCTTCTTTCATCACTGTTTCAACTTGTTTGTCTGCTTCTTCTAGTATAGCAAAATCTTTTTCTGTTGGGTAATTAAAAAATTTTGGCTTTTGATATGGAAATTTATTTAGACTTTACAATCATATACAAATCCATTTAAATCTTTTAATTTCTATTTACACTAAACTGATTTCTAAAATATATAAGCAGGCTGTTTCTATTCTAGATTTATACTTAAAACATGAGCAGTGCCCGTTAGAAAGTGATTATAAATAAAGAAGTCACAAGTTTTGCTTTTTTCCATAGTCAGTCGATCCTACACTTTTTAAATGTATTCACAAAAAATAGAACAGTTTCCCTAATATCACACATGATCGATCACATTAAAATACCTTTGATTTTACAAGATCCTTCTGGATGAACCACATTTGCATTTTCATGATTATCCTGTTTTGTGTGTCCACATCTCATTGCATGCTCTGCTCTCTCAGCTAACGCGACATTTTGCTTTTTGATTTGATCCTTCATTTCTTCTAGCAGCAACTCCTTTAACTGCTCAAGTTTCAAATCATTTTCTATGCGTGAAAAAACCTTGTTGTTATTTTTAAATGCACCGAGTTACTCTTAGAAAAAGTAGAATCTATTATCGACAAAAGTAATAAATATTACCCCGAATATGTGTTATTTATTACCTTAACAAAGTCCGTACAAAGTATGTATGTATTAGGAACTATTTCACACTCTATCATCAAAACAAGTAAGATATGTTAGTAAGAAGGCAGTTTCTTACATGTTAAAGGTACAAATTGCAAAAGGAAAATTAATTCTACTGATAGCATATAATTTACCTTTATCATCTTCTAATGATTTTTCAATCTCATATAAAAGTTGATCGGGTGATTTTTCATACTTTGCGTTCTCATCTAAACATTCAAAATAAAATTTCTCAAATATATCAGAACTAATTATAACTAAACAAATACATGTATGAAGCAAACTGAACATTTAATATTAATTTTAATTTCAGTAATTATCTATTAGATATTAGTATTACGTTACTTTAATGCAAACGATAACAATCATCCCCGCCAAAAAAACAGTGTTTTAATTGGAAGGATCGTGTTTTGTGATCTCTCAATTGCTAAGAAGATATCATTTAAAAACAAATACATAGAATGGATTGTATACCAAATAAACATATTTTAATATGAATTGGGCTTACATCGGCTATCTCCACTTCCGTCACCACGTTCATTTTCTTTGAGATGTTTTTCATCTTCATTATATTCAACTCTTCTTGATTTGGGACTATTTCCGCCATCCTTCGTCTTGGGGCTATCTTCGCCATCCTTTGGTTTGGGGATATCTTTGCCACCCATCGTCTTGGGGCTATCTTTGCCACCCTTCGTCTTGGGACTATCTTCGCCATCCTTTGTCTTGGGGCTATCTTTTCCATCCTTCGTCTTGGGGCTATCTTCGCCATCCTCCCTCTTGGGGCTATCTTTGCCACTCTTCGTCTTGGGGCTATCTTCGCCATCCTTCGTCTTGGGGCTATCTTCGCCATTCTTTGTCTTGGGACTATCTTCGCCATTCTTCGTCTTAGGGCTATCTTTGTCACCCTCCGTCTTGGGGCTATCTTCGCCATTCTTCGTCTTGGGGCTATCTTCGCCATCCTTCGTCTTGGGGCTATCTTTGTCATACTTTGTCTTGGGGCTATCTTCGCCATCCTTCGTCTTGGGGCTTTCTTCGCCATCCTTCGTGTTGGGGCTATCTTTGCCACCCTCCGTATTGGGGCTATCTTCGCCAGCCTTCGTCTTGGGGCTATCTTTGCCACCCTTCGTTTTGAGGCTATCTTCGCCATCCTTCGTCTTGGGGCTATCTTCGCCATCCCTCGTCTTGGGGCTATCTTTGCCACCCTTCGTCTTGGGGCTATCTTCGCCATCCTTCGTCTTGGGGCTATCTTCGCCATCCTTCGTTTTGGGGCTATCTTCGCCATCCTTCGTTTTGGGGCTATCTTCGCCATCCTTCGTCTTGGGGCTATCTTCGCCATCCTTCGTCTTGGGGCTATCTTCGCCATCCTTCGTCTTGGGGCTATCTTTGCCACCCTTCGTCTTGGGGCTATCTTCGCCATCCTTCGTCTTGGGGCTATCTTCGCCATCCTTCGTCTTGGGGCTATCTTCGCCATCCTTCGTCTTGGGGCTATCTTCGCCATCCTTCGTCTTGGGGCTATCTTCGCCATCCTTCGTCTTGGGGCTATCTTCGCCATCCTTCGTCTTGGGGCTATCTTCGCCATCCTTCGTCTTGGGGCTATCTTCGCCATCCTTCGTCTTGGGGCTATCTTCGCCATCCTTCGTCTTGGGGCTATCTTCGCCATCCTTCGTCTTGGGGCTATCTTCGCCATCCTTCGTCTTGGGGCTATCTTCGCCATCCGTCGTCTTGGGGCTATCTTCGCCATCCTTTGTCTTGGGGCTATCTTTGCCACCCTTCGTCTTGGGACTATCTTCGCCATCCTTCGTCTTGGGGCTATCTTCTCCATCCTTCGTCTTGGGGCTATCTTCGCCATCTTTTGTCTTGGAGCTATCTTCGCCATCCTTCGTCATGGGGCTATCTTTGCCACCCTTCCTTGGTCGCATCTTTGGGGCTATCTTTGCCACCCTTCGTCTTGGGACTATCTTCGCGATCCTTCGTCTTGGGGCTATCTTCTCCATCCTTCGTCTTGGGGCTATCTTCGCCATCCTTCGTCTTGGGGCTATCTTCGCCATCTTTCGTCTTGGGGCTATCTTCGCCATCCTTCGTCTTGGGGCTATCTTTGCCATCATTCGTCGTAGGGCTATCTTTGCCACCCTCCGTCTTGGGGCTATCTTCGCCATCCTTCGTCTTGGGGCTATCTTCGTCATCCTTCGTCTTGGGGATATCTTTGCCACCCTTTGTCTTGGGGCTATCTTCGCCATCCTTCGTCTTGGGGCTATCTTCGCCATCCTTCGCCTTGGGGCTATCTTTGCCACCCTTCGTCTTGGGGCTATCTTCGCCATCCTTCGTCATGGGGCTATCTTCGCCATCCTTCGTCTTGGGGCTATCTTCGCCATCCATCGACTTGGGACTATCTTCGCCATCCTCCGTCTTGGGGCTATCTTTGCCACCCTTTGTCTTGGGGCTATCTTCGCCACCCTTCGTCTTGGGGCTATCTTTGCCACCCTTCGTCTTGGGGCTATCTTCGCCATCCTTCGTCTTGGGGCTATCTTCGCCATCCTTCGTCTTGGGGCTATCTTCGTCATCCTTCGTCTTAGGGCTATCTTCGCCATCCTTCGTCTTGGGGCTATCTTCGCCATCCTTCGTCTTGGGGCTATCTTCGCCATCCTTCGTCTTAGGGCTATCTTCGCCATCCTTCGTCTTGGGGCTATCTTCGCCATCCTTCGTCTTGGGGCTATCTTCGCCATCCTTCGCCTTGGGGCTATCTTCGCCATCCTTCGTCTTGGGGCTATCTTCGCCATCCTTCGTCCCGGGGCTATCTTCGCCATCCTTCGTCTTAGGGCTATCTTCGCCATCCTTCGTCTTGGGGCTAGCTTCGCCACCCTTCGTCTTGGGGCTAGCTTCGCCACCCTTCGTCTTGGGGCTATCTTCGCCACCCTTCGTCTTGGGGCTATCTTCGCCATCCTTCGTCTTGGGGCTATCTTCGCCATCCTTCGTCTTGGGGCTATCTTCGCCATCCTTCGTCTTAGGGCTATCTTCGCCATCCTTCGTCTTAGGGCTATCTTCGCCATCCTTCGTCTTGGGGCTATCTTCGCCATCCTTCGTCTTAGGGCTATCTTCGCCATCCTTCGTCTTGGGGCTATCTTCGCCATCCTTCGTCTTAGGGCTATCTTCGCCCTCCTTCGTCTTGGGGCTATCTTCGCCATCCTTCGTCTTAGGGCTATCTTCGCCATCCATCGTCTTGGGACTATCTTCGCCATCCTCCGTCTTGGGGCTATCTTCGCCACCCTTCGTCTTGGGGCTATCTTCGCCATCCTTCGTCTTGGGGCTATCTTCGCCAGCCTTCGTCTTGGGGCTATCTTCGCCATCCTTCGTCTTAGGGCTATCTTCGCCATCCTTCGTCTTAGGGCTATCTTCGCCATCCTTCGTCTTGGGGCTATCTTCGCCATCCTTCGTCTTAGGGCTATCTTCGCCATCCTTCGTCTTGGGGCTAGCTTCGCCACCCTTCGTCTTGGGGCTATCTTCGCCACCCTTCGTCTTGGGGCTATCTTCGCCATCCTTCGTATTGGGGCTATCTTCGCCATCCTTCGTCTTGGGGCTATCTTCGCCATCCTTCGTCTTGAGGCTATCTTCGCCACCCTTCGTCTTGGGGCTATCTTCGCCATCCTTCGTCTTGGGGCTATCTTCGCCATCCTTCGTCTTGGGGCTATCTTCGCCATCCTTCTTCTTGGGGCTATCTTCGCCATCCTTCGTCTTGGGGCTATCTTCGCCATCCTTCGTCTTAGGGCTATCTTCGCCATCCTTCGTCTTGGGGCTATCTTCGCCATCCTTCGTCTTGGGGCTATCTTCGCCATCCTTTGTCTTAGGGCTATCTTCGCCATCTTTCGTCTTGGGGCTATCTTCGCCATCCATCGTCTTGGGACTATCTTCGCCATCCTCCGTCTTGGGGCTATCTTCGCCACCCTTCGTCTTGGGGCTATCTTCGCCATCCTCCGTCTTGGGGCTATCTTCGCCACCCTTCGTCTTGGGGCTATCTTCGCCATCCTTCGTCTTGGGGCTATCTTCACCATCCTTCGTCTTAGGGCTATCTTCGCCATCCTTCGTCTTAGGGCTATCTTCGCCATCCTTCTTCTTGGGGCTATCTTCGCCATCCTTTGTCTTGGGGCTATCTTCGCCATCCTTCGTCTTGGGGCTATCTTCGCCATCCTTCGTCTTGGGGCTATCTTCGCCATCCTTCGTCTTAGGGCCATCTTCGCCATCCTTCTTCTTGGGGCTATATTCGCCATCCTTCGTCTTGGGGCTATCTTCGCCATCCTTCGTCTTGGGGCTATCTTTGCCATCCTTCGTCTCAGGGCTATCTTCGCCACCCTTCGTCTTGGGGCTATCTTCGCCATCCTTCGTCTTGGGGCTATCTTCGCCATCCTTCGTCTTGGGGCTATCTTCGCCATCCTTCGTCTTGGGGCTATCTTCGCCATCCTTCGTCTTAGGGCTATCTTCGCCACCCTTCGTCTTGGGGCTATCTTCGCCATCCTTCGTCTTGGGGCTATCTTCGCCATCCTTCGTCTTGGGGCTATCTTCGCCATCCTTCGTCTTGGGGCTATCTTCGCCATCCTTCGTCTTGGGGCTATCTTCGCCATCCTTCTTCTTGGGGCTATCTTCGCCATCCTTCGTCTTGGGGCTATCTTTGCCATCCTTCGTCTTGGGACTATCTTCGCCATCCTCCGTCTTAGGGCTATCTTCACCATCCTTCGTCTTGGGGCTATCTTCGCCATCCTTCGTCTTGGGACTATCTTCGCCATCCTCCGTCTTAGGGCTATCTTCACCATCCTTCGTCTTAGGGCTATCTTCGCCATCCTTCGTCTTGGGACTATCTTCGCCATCCTCCGTCTTAGGGCTATCTTCACCATCCTTCGTCTTGGGGCTATCTTCGCCATCCTTCGTCTTGGGGCTATCTTTGCCACCCTTCGTCTTGGGGCTATCTTCGCCATCCTTCGTCTTGGGGCTATCTTCGCCATCCTTCGTCTTGGGGCTATCTTCGCCATCCTTCGTCTTGGGGCTATCTTTGCCACCCTCCGTCTTGGGGCTATCTGCGCCATTCTTCGTCTTGGGGCTATCTTCGCCATCCTCTGTCTTGGGGCTATCTTCGCCATCCTTCGTCTTGGGGCTATCTTTGCCACCCTCCGTCTTGGGGCTATCTTCGCCATCCTTCGATTTGGATCTTTCATAATCAGTTGTTTCTTTTAGTTCTTTCAGTTTCCTATTAACCTCAACAATTGCATTCAAAACTTGATAATATGAATCATCTTCTTCTTGTACATCTATTCAAATAATAAATCCAATTATTCGTAAACTAACCCAAAACTTCCTATTGCTTCGAATATATTGCACATGTGTTTACATTCCTATATATACATGGTGGTCGCCAGAAAACAGAAAATTTGTCAAACAGTATTTACTCCTTACAAAGAACAATCTTCTCCACGATTTTAAAGTCATATGTTATATTATACTCATAGATTCTCAAAATGTTGTCCGTAGACTTCCGAGCAGTGTCTTAACCTAGAAGTCTAAGCTCGTGCGGCATTTTGAAGATTAACTTGTTCGTTTTCAAATCATCATTTGTAAAAATGAATAGCTGTTTGACAAATTTTCTATTTTCTTAGCTACCACCCTGTACACTTTAGAAAACATCTGTATTTACATTGTTTCTATTCATGATTGCATTCTTTTTGAATTAAGGGCCAAATTGAAAATCATGTGCATTAATACTATATATTTATCGAAGGTTCATATTTAAAAAATTAATTTCAAAATTATTAAAAGAAATATTTTTATCTCTCACCATCACGTTTCCCGAGTTGTGATTTGATTTTCTGCATGGCCATCATCAGTCTTGATTTGGCTGTGACTTCCAAAAGCTTTTCATTGATTGAAACTTTTTGTGTGTCAGCTATTATAATAAACATTTATTTTAATCCTGTATTTCAAAGATTAATAATGTGAAGCATGACAATTGTGATATATATGAAAAATATAAATACATTTAAAAAAAAATTCGTTTGTATCATTCACTATTGACCAATAGCATTGAATTCACTCATACTGATAAATTCAGTGCATAGTGCATATTAGTCGATTCATATAGATAATAGACAATCATAAAAATCTGTATATTGTCATACCTTCACTTTTACCTTCAACCTCGTCTAATATCTTGTCTATTTCTTGAGTGTTTTGTATTAATTTCTCAAGCGAAATTATTTCTTGGTATGATATAGCCTGTGCAACTGTAATTTTATCTTGCATTGCATCCGGAGAGTCTAAATCTTTTCTAATGGATTGATCCTCTCTGTAATTCTCAAGAATCATCAGAAGAACATGTTCGAGATTTTTGTCTTTGTTTTCAAATTGCTTCAATGCATCTAAACACAATAAGGCTTAAGGTTAAGGTAGAACAAAGTATTCTTTGTTTCAATCAAAACAAGGTGTTTCTGAGCATAACATTTTAATTCATTGTCTTATCAAATCTAAAATTTGTTGGTTTGTGTTCATCATTTTCGAAAAAAAAAAATTTTTGAACAAATACTTAAACACAATTTGAAAACATAAAACAGAAAATGACCCACTTGATATGATATGATATCATTTTATCACGGCTAACTACACAACATGTAATTTGAATGCAGTATATATACATACCATCGGCCTCCTTCTCACTTTCAGTTTTATCCAATGGAACAATTTCTTCCATTGTGCTAACTAGCATCAACTCTTGTCTGTAGAAAATCAATAACCGAACTATGTATGCAAATTCTGGAGTCAGCGGAAGATCACCATTTTCAATGAAATCTAGAATAAAGCTAAGTTTATTATCAAAATCTTTGTGATAATAGAAATAATGCAAATATGTTAAAACTACCATTGACGCCTCAACTAGAAAAATTGATATTTTGAGGACTAAAATTTTTCAAAAATGAATCTGCCGAGTACATAATAAAAAATATGTTCTGTTCAATCGTACAAATTGTACCAGGTTAAGGAAAATGAAGGTTTAGTTGAAAAAGATTATATACCTGCATAAGTAGGCTATACTAATTAATATTTGGAAATCTTTGTGTCCAAAGAATTATGCATTATTCTACATCGAATAACTGATTATTACCTTCATTCCATACACAAGTTTTGCCTCCTATTCCACCTAAAGTCATACCAGCAGAGCATATGCATTTCTCTGACGAAAGATCGCAATCATGACTGCAACCCAATGCGGGCAATCCACATTTTTCTGAATCGACGAAATAAAAGTATGTGTGAATAACTTTGACCAAAAAAATTGACGAAAGTCATTAAAGAAACTATAAAGAAGGTATAATAAAAATACTGGAAATGGCATTAGATTGAGATATCCAAAGAATGTTGAAGACATGAATGTAAATACCATGGTCCATTGCTCAGCAGCTCTAACAGAATGAATTTTAATATTACGCATATTCATTTTGCGCTATCTTTGAAAACAAATCTGTTTTTCAGGAATTCAGTCTTTTCCCGGTTATTGTGGACAATAGTATCTGCAGTATATGCAATAGTTTTTACAACAATTTATGTGGTAAAGTTCACTTACTTTCAAATCTTCTTGCATACATCAAAATTCTCATTTTTATCAATATTCGAAATCGATTTAGTTTGTAACGAATTATGTATATGATTCGACGACGTATTACAATTGACCAAGTATACCAAGTTATCCGTCTATTCATCAACAGATCTAAACAATAAAGTCAAACTATCCTAAACAAATGCGGATAAGCATTTAGTGTGTGAATAGAATAGAACCAACATGCCAATCAGTGCATTTCATTGTATGGTAATCGAACTCCAATTATAAGCATCAGCGTTGCCGTGAAAAACTTCATCTTCAATAAGTTAAACAAAGCTGTGGGATGTTAATTAAAACTTTAATTTGAAAAAAGCTAAAAATTTGGAAAACTATACTATAACTGTTAATATTGCCAAAATGATAAAAATTGATATAGTAAACACATTTTCTGCCTCATGCATTCGCGTGCAAACTGTACTTACACTGTTCCACTTCTTTGTCCATCGGTATATTTGAATCAGTGTACTGCATTTCTTCAAGCAAATCTTTTTTCAGTTTACTTTTTTCTGCGACTGTATACACCACATCTGTTGAATCGTTGTAAGGTGTACAAAATTAATCTTCAAGTGATGAAACATAGTAGTAATATACCCATTTCATAATAGATAAATATGTATTCGGTATTCTAAGGCCCAATAATTAAAGACTACATATTAAAATTATGATAAGTTAAAATGGTTGTAGTTTATCTTAAGTGCTACATTTTAAATTAGAATGCTATGATTTTTTAATCTAGATATTTCTTGGAATATTTGGTATAAGTTCATAACATAATTGATTAGAAAAAAAACAAAGTAAAATTCAATTAACTATTCACCTTCTGCTTTATCTAAAGATGTCACTGTCTCCATAATATCATCAGCTACCCCAAAATACTTTGAAATTGTGAATAGTTTTTTTGTAACTCTCGAATCTTTTCCAAATCTGTAACCAGATAATTTATCTTAGAAATAAGTAAGTGAATGGTTCACGTTACATTTTCATATTTTATTAACTTACCTTCTGGTTTGTCGTCTGATGTCATCATGTCGAGAGCATTTTTTAAAGTAGCTTCAATTTGTTTATCAGTCTCTATTATGATTTCGTATTCTTTTTCTTTGAATATAAATGGTAATATTACATAATTGGGTGCTCTCGAAGTATGTGCACCAATATGGCGCATAACCTGAATATAGTATGTGTACCAGGTTAGGGTTATCAGAATGTGCGCCACCTTGGTGCACATACTTCTGAAGCGCCCACAATCGTTATCAAAAAACATATATATATGTGAAATTTCAGAATTTAACAAGATAGAAACACAAGATAATGTCTTGCATCATTCATGAACATACGTTATTAGGTTAAATTGAACAGCAATTTGAAAGCAAGTAGGTATTTAAAACGAACATACCTACCTTTTCGTTAAACGACATAATACAGGGAGAGGCTGGATTTGAAAGTGATAATCGATTTATTTGCTCTAGCAATAGCGATATAAAAATCACATAAAATATTTCTGGTAAATAAAGTTAATTATTTATTTTATACCGTAATAAATGAATGATGTTATTCAACGTACTTGATTTTATATCACAAATTCCTAAGTCGTTTTGCTCTTTTTCTTTGCCAAGAACATTTGAACATTTATGGCTGTTTGTCTTTCTTTTCTTTGCCGCAATTTCTTGATCTCTGATACTTTCAATTAGCTCTGTATGCAAGAGTGCCTTCGTCTGCTCAACCTTAATTTGATTTTCTGTTGAAATTAACAGCAATCATCAGTTAGTTTTTATATATATATATTTTATATACAAACAAAATTAAATAAATCAGTGAAAACAAAACATCCAAATTAACTGAATTTACAAAACCTATTACACATGCATAAACATGTCAAATGTATGAATATAATCAATCTGTAGGTGTCTTTCAGTATGAAAATTTAAAAATATCAAAATATAAATGCCAAGCTCAGATAATATTGTATGATTACAACGCATTGTTCTGTTGGAGGACATTTGTTGAATTGGTTTAAACTTGCTATAGACCAAACATTAGCATTATTTTGTCGACACTTAAATAAACTAGAAGTGTGCTATGATTCAAATAATTTTTTTAGTCACCGTATTTAATTTTTTCACTTTATTTAATGTTATAAACATCTTTCTCCTAAAAATCGTATGTACCTTTATCATCACCATCATCTTTCTTCTTGTCTCCAAATTCATCTTTATCACCATCATCTTTCTCTTTGCCATCGTATTTATATTTATCATCTTTCTCATCACCATCATCTTTCTCTATGCCATCGTATTTATCTTTATCATTTTTCTCATCACCATCATCTTTCTCTTTGCCATCGTTTTTATCTTTATCATCTTTCTCATCATCATCACCTTTCTCTTTGCCATCGTATTTATCTTTATCATCTTTTTCATCACCATTATCTTGCTCTTTGCCATCGTATTTATCTTTCTCATCTTCATCTTCCTCTTTGTCTTTAGCGTTACCCCCTTCCACAACTTCTTCTAAATAATCTACAGCTACAGAATCTTCCTTTTGATCACTTTTCTCTATATTCCAAAGATCTAAAAACGAATAATTTACAGTATAAAAGCACTTTCTACAATGGCCTATAAATATATTCTTATATCATTGTAAAAATGCCATAAAACCAGGTTATGCTGACTAGCACGATAAAAAACTAACTCTCTATAACTTTGTCTTCCTTTTTGGAAGTGTCGTCCTTCTTTTCTACATCTTTTTCTTGTTTCGTCACTATTTCTTCTTCAACATTTTTCTTTTCATTTTGTTCGTCCTTCTGTTCGATGTTTTTTTCGTCTGTCTTGTCAATTTGATCATGACTGATTTCTTCTAGAATATTTTCTACTTTCGTTTCCGTTTCTTTTTTCTTCTCCATGCTCCACAATCCCGAGTTATCTTATCGTAATATAGTCAGTAAATATTAACACTTCGTAATATCTTTCCTCAAAATATTTCATAAACTTTAATAAAAGTTAATCTGGCACAGTAATTATTAACATATATAATTGATAGATCAGTATTGAATAAGTTACCTAATGATGTATTTTATACCTGAATTTTCTCTCGGCGTTTCTATGATTTCCACATCTTCCTCTTCAATTTCCAATACTACAAAAGAAACAATGTTTTTGTATTTAAGACAAGTTTTCTGAATACAACATTCTGTGTTGCCTTTAACATTATTGAACATATAGAACAATAATGAATAAAATTACATAATAATGTATTACATACCTGAATTTTCTTTTGGCGTTTTTTTGATTTCCAAAAGTTCTTCCTTAATTTCCAATTCTTCAAAAAATACAATAATTTTGTATTTAGACAAATTTTCTGGATATAACGTTTTGTGTTGTCTTAAATAACATTATTTCCAATATATTTAAAATGTGGTGCCGCACATATTCCGATTTCACCGCATTAGCAATACAATGAAATATGATGAACTATGAGTACGTTAAAGTTCACTATAGCTGTCATTATTTTGCAGTCTCAGTTATTTGTTGATGATAAGAAATTCAACGAACTATTTATTTCGAATCATTATTCACATTAAGCGATTTTTATCAAATGACACCATCATACCTTTCTTGTTTACTGGAGTTGCAACCTCCAACTTAAAGACAGGCGCTGGTGTTTCAGTTGTTTTGGGAGCAATCTCAAGTTCAATATTATTTTCTTTTTCGTTATCACTTTCCCTTTTCAAGCTTGAATCATCTAATAAAAGCCCACGGTTTATGCTTTGTCATTAGACCATTTGACACGAACGAAGCATAGCATGATTGTGTAATTGAATAACTTCCATTTACACAGCCACAAAGAATTACGAAGTTTTGATATAAAAGCACATCAGGAAATCCAGGATTAAACAATTCTTTCAGTGTGAAATAAATATAAAACTAACATATATACTCAACATTAGGACGAGGCCTTGCTAACGAGGCGTTGCTAATTCTAACAGTAAAAAAGGGAATTCTACATACGCTACATAACTCGGTAAAACATGTAATATTTATAGTATACACCATCAGACAAAGAAACATAGAACACAGTTTGTCAAACAAAATGACTAAACAACTAATAATATTGACAATAAAAAAGGATGCGAGGCTGGCTCTAAAGCAATGTGAAAATCGAATAAATCACCTTCGTCAGATTCTGGAATTTCATCCAGTGATTTTGTCACAGAATGCTTTGATTCTTCAGCCATTTTGCTTATCTTGATGACATTCCTCATAATTTTCAAACTAGATGAGGTATCCTCAATTGGCACTAAAATGATGATAAGTATAAAAAAAAAATTCGAGTGATTTATTAAACGTTCGATATGGTAAATGCAATTGAAGCGAAACCTTGATTTTATTTTGGAAATGCGATCTACATATAGTGTACAGAAAATGGCAAGAAACACTGAACCATACGATACAGTACCTCAGAAATTAAATACCAGCGAAAAAGTAAATTAAATAAACTAGTTTTATCACTGTTCGATGTAAATTCAATAACAGTGTTAAATGTGCCCAATAAATAAAAAACTCAATGCTATTAGGAGGGATATAAAAGAATACATTAGCAATGTAGAACAATTAGCATATAGTCTTCCTGACTCTAGGAAGATCTAAAATAAGTGGTTTACAAATAGTTCCGCTCAGCAACCTAATAATATAAAAACTGAACACAAAGTTGACCTAAATAAAACAAAAAATTAAAATAAAAAATTGTTCCATACTTTCTGTGATTTGTTCCTTCATTTTTTGCAATGTTCTGTCTACTTTCGACTCCGCAATATATGTAAACAATTTTGCGACATTGACTGAATCATCTTTTTCCTCATCGTCTGCAGAATTTTAGATGAAACAATAATATTAGATTGATATACCTAGCAATATTTACAGAGTAATAATCCAAACGATTTATTAACTTTACCATCTGTACTTTTTATCATTGTCAAAAGTTCATCAAAAGTCTTCGATTTAT